AGGAGGAAAACTTGTTGATAAGGTACCGGTTGGAGACAAGGAAGGAGGGTTGGTTGTTATGGAGACTAGGGAAAATAGGTGCAGGTAACCAAAGAAGTTGTGGGTTTGGGTTTGGATGGGGAATTAGGGCCTGCAAAAGAGATTGTGGAAAGAATGAGAGGGAAGGAGTTGGGGAAGGAACCAATTAGAGAAAAGGAAGAAATAAATGAGGCAGAAAGGAATACAAGGAGTGGGGAAACCCAGAATGTACAAGACCCAGTGATGGATTTGGCTGACAAGATGGGTTTGAAAATGGAGAAAGTTAAGGAAAACCTCAAAAAAAAAATGGCCAAAGAAAAGGGAGGAAAGAGGAGAAGAAAGCTAAATGAAGTGGAGAAACTTATTGCTGATGTGGAAGGGGATAAGGGGTTTAGTGCTAGAGGATGTAGGAGGAAGGGAGGACTATAGGGGAGAGGGATTGGGTTCAGTTCTTGCTATGATTATGAAGATCATTAATTGGAACGTAAAGGGGGCTAGGGAGTGTCACAAAAAGGAGAGTAGTTAAATAGGTGTTGAGGAAGGAAAGACTGGATTTTGTATTGATCCAAGAATAAAAAATTCAGGTAGTCAATAGGAAATGGATAAGAAGTATTTGGGGAGAGGATATAAATTGAAGTTTTGCTCTTTCTTGGGGTGCTTCGGGGGGGATAATAACTATCTGGAAAGAAGAGGCAATTCTACCTATGGAGGACTTAATTGGCAAATTCTTAGTGTCTATCAAGTTAAGGTACTTGCAAGATGGGTTTGAATGGGTTCTCACAAATGTCTATGGACCAACTTCTTATAGAGAAAGGTGGAAATTGTGGGAAGATCTAGGGAACATTAGTGGTCTTTGGAAGGGCCTTGGTGTGTTGGGGGATACTTTAATGTTATCAAATTTGTGGGTGAGTCAATTGGAGGTAGGTAAAGGGCTACATCAAGCACAAAGAAGTTTAATTCTTTTATTGAGGAATTTAAGTTGAGAGATTTTCAATTGGGACAATCTTGTTATACTTGGTCAAACCTCCAAGAAAGCCCCGTTTTGTCCAAGCCTGACAGGTTTCTAGTTTTTCTAGATTGGAAAGAACATTGGGCAGGTTTAGTTGGGAGAACTCTACCTAGAATCACCTCGGACCACTATCCCATTTGTCTATTTTAGAGGAGTAGTGAGGGTGGTCCAACTCCTTTTAGGTTTGAAAACATGTGGCTCACTCATTCTGATTTCAAAAAGAAGGTTAAGGTTTGGTGGAATAGTTTGGAACAATCATCATTGTGAGAGGGCCAAAAAATCCTAAAAAAGTTCTAGCTGATGAAAAAGGAAATTAGAGAGTGGAATAGGGAGAAGTTTAGAAGATTGGAGTAGAAAAATGCTGAATTGGTTTCCCAAATTGAGGCAATTGATAGCATGGAAGTGGTGGGTTCTCTTGATGAGGGTGATAGGGAGTTGAGGTGGTCTTTGAAGAAGGAGCTTGGGGAAACTTTGCTAAGAGAGGAAATAAGTATGAAGCAAAAATCAAGAGAGAGGTGAATCAAAGAAGGGGATGGTAATAAAAAATTTTTCCATGACATTGTAAATGGAAGGAGAAGGAAGAGCTCAATTAACTCTCTAATGGTGGGGAAAATGAGGTTACAGACCGGACAAAGATTGCAAAGGCTTTTTGGAGCATTTCAGGTCCATTTATAAAAGGCCTTTAAATGAAAGGTGGTTGGTTGAAGACTTGGATTGGGAGACTTTGGGGGAGGCACAAGGGCAAATTTTGGAAAGAAGGTTTAAAGAGGATGAGATCAAGGAAGAAATATTCTCTATGAATAGATCAAAAGCTCCAAGGCCTAATGGATTCAAAATGGCATTTTATCAAGACTGCTCGGACATAATTAAAGGAGATCTTCTCAGTGTGTTTAGTGAATTCTATAGAAGAACGGTAACCAGCTCAGGGATGAATTCTACTTTCTTAGTGTTGATCCCAAAGAAGAACAATGCTATCCGGCCTAGTGACTTTAGGCCCATTAGCCTAGTCACCAATATTTACAAAGTTATAGAAAAAGTGTTGTCTTTAAGAATTAAGAAAGTGATACCCCCACTAGTTTCGTAGTCTCAAGGGGCTTCGTTCAAGATAGGCAGATCATTGATCAAATTCTCATTGCTAATGAATGTGTGGAGGCCCAAAAAAGATTAAAGATAAAGGTAGTGGCTGTCAAATTGGACTTTGAGAAAGCCTATGATTTGGTGGATTGGAATTTCTTAACTGATATATTGAGGAGGTGGGGTTTTGGAGATTTGTGATGTAGATAGATTAAGGGTTGCTTGCAGTCTAGTCACTACTCAATCATTGTTAATGAGACGGTGTAGAATTTCTTTGAGGGCTTTCGTRGACTTAGATAGGGGTGACCCCCCTCTCCCATTCTATTCACTTTGGTTGCTAAAGTTCTAATCAAATTGCTTGCAACTGCTTAAGGGCTGCTCAATAGGGAGAGATAATATTTTTAATCACTCACTTGCAGTTTGCATACGATATTCTAATTTTTTGTGATGGAGACTGTAGTGAGGGGGTGGAAAATTTGAAGCTAGTGGTGAAACTCTTTGAGAGATTGTCTAATTTGAGGATTAACTGGTCTAAGAGCCTAGTGGTTGAAACCAGCATTGAAGAGAATCTCTTGAGGAGCATGATAGATTCCCTACCTATGAAATACTTAGGCTAGGATTCTAGATTGAAGAGAACTTCTTCAATGAAGGTGACTCGAATTCTAGAGTCTAGGGTCCTAACTCCAATGGGTTGTTCTCTTGTAAGTYCTTGTTACATTCTTTAGTATCCACCTCTACTTCCTCTTCTTTCTCAGTCAAGGATCTGGTGTTCTCCTATTCCTCCTAAAATTAGTGCTTTCTGTTCGGAAGTGTTTCATGGTTGCATTAATACCTTTGATTTACTCCAAAGAAAAGGACCAAATTTCCGTTCATCCCCCAACTAATGTGTTCTTTGTAAGTTGAATGGTGAGACTGCTTTTCATCTTCTAATCTCTTGCTCTTTTATTAGCTTTCTTTGGGAATGGTTTACTTCTCTTTTTGGCTGTAGATGGTCCACTACTGATAGGTTGGATGGTTTGTTTAGCGCTACTGGCATTAGCTGTACAAAAAAGAGGGGTGGGACTTTGTGGAGATGCACTAGAGCAGCATTACTTTGGACTGTATGGGAGGAAAGAAATGCAAGAATATTTGAAGAAAAGGAAAGGAGCAAGGAAGCCTTGGTAGAAATAATTACCTTGAGGGTGGCACATTCAGCAAAGAGTTTGAAGTTGTTCTTAGATTTCAAGATTGAAGACTTCTTCAAAGCTTGGGGTGTCATTGCTAATCCTCAATGACAAGACAATTTGTTGAGACTTGGTCTCCCCCAATAATTGGATAGAAGAAACTAAACTTTTATGGGAGTTGTTTGGGTAATTCGGGCCCTTCAAGTATAGGGGGGCCATTAGGGATGAAGAGGGGAATATAGTTGCTTTATATCCGGCCCTGTGGAGCAAGGTGATGTGACAAGATCAAAGTTTTTGGCTGCATTTTATGGGGTTGAGAAGGCAAAAGAATTGGGTGTTAGTAGGCTGATTATTGAGGGAGATTGGAAAACTGTTGTTAAGTAACTAGTTAAGGGGGAGGGGGTGTCTTGGCATTTGAGGAATGATTTCAGGAAATTCAAATGGCTGTCACAGGACATGTCAATCCGAGTGAGATGGGTGAGGAGAACTGCCAACAGCTTGACAGGTAGCCTAACCAAGCAAGGGGTACATAGAACATATATGTTTCGGGCTCAAATGTAATTTGTATTGGGGCAACTTCTAAAGCTGGTTTCTTTCATAACTTCTTGTTGTAATCCTGTTTTCTTCTAATTAATAAAATATTTTTTCTGTGTTGTTGGTCAAAAAAAAAGGATCAATATGTTGGTCACTTCCACATCCTAGCGTATTGGCTCTAGAACTTCAACTCATGCATGTAATACTTTGCTAAGGTTTAAGAAAAGCAAAAGATTGAATGATGACAAGGTCGTGCTTTATATGGGGACATTTGGAATAGTAGTAATTGTCACAAATGTATGTGGTACCCTAAATTCATAGTCGTTAAGGCAACGCCTAGGTGACAAGGTGCCCTTTAAGGCTCGCCAAGCAGTTTTTTACTTCCTACTATAAAATACTTTTTTGAGATTATAATTATAAAATAGACATTACTAAACTAAAATGATCATTTTGTGTGTTTATATACTAATTTCTTTTTATTATTTTCTTATATATTAGTGATTAATCAACACAAACATTGCTAAATGATGTATTGAACCCTCAAAGACTTCAAAACTTGAACCAACAAGTAAGGAAGAACTTAAAATTTTATCTGATCAGCACATTTTCTTCTTCCACATATTCTTCTTCTTCTTCCGTATAACAGAAATGAGGGTTCGACCCCTATATTTTTTGAATTTTATTTTCCTTCTTCTTTTTCTTCTCATGAATATGTTGATTTTTTATACTTTAATATGAACTTTATACTTTTCTTATGAAAATTATGAATAATTGTTATGGTATCTAGGGAACTACCCTAAAATCTATGTTTTTACCTAGGCACCCGCCTAGGTGACTAGGTGACTAGGTGACTAGGCACCCCTTATCACCTAGCCTCGCCTTGGTGCCTTGGAAATTATCCTAAATGTTAGAAGGCAAATTCCTACTTTATAACTTTTATCGATAACTATTCTCGGTATGGGTACGTGTACTTAATGAGACATAAATCCGAACCATTTGAAAAGTTAAAAGAATTTAGACAAAAATCAAAAAATATAACACAATACTTAAAGGCAATTAAGGAAACAAATAAAAATTTACTCATCAGTGGAACCATCATTGGTAGAGATCTAGATGAATGTATAACCATAAACAATTAGAAGCCTATTCAACGATGACTAGAATAACCAGGAAGCTAGAATTTTCAAGTTATTAAGACTTACGCCCATTTTGGATCTGGAGCTCCACAATCTGCACAAAAACGATTTTCACTTTTAAGTTGAAGCTCTTTTAATCTTCTTATATTACCTGTACAGAAAGTGGACCAAATTGGATCATAGAAATTAGAAATAGCTTATATTTTATGATGTAGAAAACAAATGCTTACAAAAGACAAAAATAATACAAGGAATTTATGAATAAATGAAAATTTTGCCAATAACAAAGCCCTTAGACAAGAAGGGTTCTTCTTCAAATACATGCTTAACTTGTTACTAAAAAAGTGGTACACAACTTTTCCTTCAAAAGAAAAATATATTATAGTGGTATAGATCCCAATGTAACTAAGTTAAAAAGTTAGTTCATATCCTTTATTAATATATTAAATATAATTTTAGTTTACTCAAATACAAAACCAAGAAAGACTTTCAAGACATTACATTGATTTGAGTCTCATTCTTGTAGATAAAAGGGGTTGTTTTATTAAAACCAACCTAAGTTATTCTCCCAAGTCAAATAAAAAACTCAGCCTAAATGCTTCAAGACATAGGCTTGATAGTGGGTCACAAACAAAATATGTTCCCAATCCTGAGTGTCATTAACTAGTATTTTGTTATTATTATCTACTTGTTCTTTCTTCTTGGATAGTGGATCTCAAACAGAATATGTTCCCTGTCCCAAGTACAGAGTTATTAACTAGTATTTTGTTATTATTTTCTACTTGTTCTTTCTTTGTTGTCTTCTTCTTTTCATTTGTTTCCAGTGATGGAGGAATAGGAGGGGAGATACTAAAAGCTTGTGAAACATTAGAGAAGTGAAATAGAAATTCTACAAAGTTCATTCTTCAAGCAATTAATTTATATGATTTTGCTTCCTAGAGTTCTTTCCCATCAGCTCCTCCTCACACTTTTTTATAATATGTTCAAGAACAAAAAGAAAGAAATATTGGTAAGAGCAAAAGCATATACAAGAAGGAAAGATGGTTTTGAGATAAGACAGCCATTTCTCAAAACTTTAATATTCTTCTTTGGTTGCAAAGAAATTACCGAGTTGAAATAATAGATAACAGTTTTTTTCAGCAACCAAATTGAACAATATTAAAATAGACATTCCTTGATAATTTAATCTAACTTGAACAAAATATTCCTACCACATAAGAAATGAGTTTAGCAAACTTCACTAGTAAAGCATCATCACAGATTAAGAATTTGATGAATTTTACTATTCCCACTATCAATTTCCCTTTCAGAAAGCTAATTCTATTTCTATCAAAAACATAACAATTCCAACATAGAGGACTAATGAAAACCTCTGTTCTAAAAGTCATCCTCAAAATGAACCTCATTTTTCTTCTATGAAGATCATATTTCATAAGATTTTATAACTTAAAGAGAGATTTCTGAAACTAAACAATCATTTAAATGAAGGATCATAATGTAAATAGAGATTTCCTAAAAACATATATAAAAATCACTTAATCAGATCTTTAACATGCCTACAATACAAACTATGACAAGCTTACCTGGGGAAGGCCTCCCAACGTCACGAAAACGGTTATTCATCTGTCTGCTTTCAAAACACAATCATCCAACAAGTATATCTTTGTTTTTTATCTATATACACCCAAAACTGACCCCAATAAAATGCATCGGAGATAGATAGTCAAGCTTTCCAAAAACCATCAAGTAACAAACTAAATATCAAAATAAACACAATTGGGAAGCACCAGATAACTAAAATCTCTGCGGATAGGAATCTATAAGTATAGAAATGACCTGGAAAACATTCAAATTACCCGTACAACAACGTCAACCTCTAACCTACAATTCCCTCAATTTTCCGATTCCGGGCAATACCAAAAAGCATCCACACATTCGAATTTTCCAGAACCATTACAAATTCAAGCAAGTGGACCAACAAAAAGAAGACTATCAAAATTACGTCAACGAAATTTGTCAATCTGTCAAAATGATCCAAAATCAGAGTTTTGAAGGTAATTCAAGAGATCAAACCCCAAAAAATAAACTTGAGATCGATGAAATCCTTATCTAGAAAATAAATGAATAAAACAGAACAAAATTTTGGGAGAGAAAAAAAAAAAGCAATCAATCCTCAATCCGTCAGAAATGGAAGATCGAATTGAACTTTGAATTTACCATTAAATTAATGAGAATTTTGATTAAATCTCCGCTTCGAAGACAGAGAATTCTCAGATATTCAAATAAGAGATCCAGACAAAGAGGCAAACGTCAAAATCAAATATTCACCACCCCCTCGTCCTCTCTCTCTCTCTCTCTCCCTCTCTCTCTCCTCCTTTTATTTTCGTGAGGCGGGGCGTGTTTACTTTTAATGAGTTCTTTTCGTTCTGAGTTTCTCCCGCTCCCTTGTTTCCACGTAACATACTGCATGGGGACGTGAGGTGACAGTTCGAAGCGGGAGCAGGGGAAGATCATTCGAACTCCGATGGGGCTGTAATCGGATCGGATCCAACTACATGGGCATCCATCCTATTATCAAACTTCGGATATTAAATTCGATTTTTTTTTTGCTTCTAAGATATTAAATTCGAATTTAATTCGCGTATTTTACTGTGATTGAAATTATAAAATGATAAAAAAATTAAAAAGATAATTATTTTAAATTATACATGTATAATAAATATATAGAATATAGAATTTAATTTACCATTTATAAGCTTTACAATTTTCTATATTACTATCTATACTATACTATTTATAAAAGTCATTTCATAATTGTTTTAATGCGATCTTTAATGACTACTGATGATGCGCAATCCGGCCACTCCTAGCTAGAAGTGACGAGGCTTCTAGCTGGCAACGGGAGAGAGATACCTGCAAGAAGGACGAAGGGACCCGGGGTTGAATACCCGGCGGGGACTCTCCGATGCTTAAGTTAGAACTCGGTAGCGAGCTGAGAGAGAATAAGTTTGCAAGAATATGAGAAAGCTAGAGAGTGGTGAATATGCGATACCTCGGTCCCTGGGGAGTTGAAATGTCTATATACCGATGCTCTGACAAGTTCGGCTGAGTCGGCTTGTTAGGCAGTGTCTCGAGGTGGCTGACCGTTATTGTCAGGACTGAAGGCAGGCGGGCTACAGTGACCGTTGCTTGGTATGGTCCCTCCAATCAGGAGACAACCCGCAGATCGCGACGCCACCTGTCGAGAGACGTGGGTACAACCTTTTGAATC